CCTCTCTCCTCCTCACTCCAATCCTGTTTCTCTTCACATTCCTTTTGTTGCATGGGATTGCAATGTTGAAAGCATAGAACATCACCATGTGCATATAGATGAGATAGATAAGAAATATAAAGAAAAAAAAAGGACTGTGCTTGAATGGGACTCTTTATTTTAATGGTTCTGTGCGTTGTGTTATAGTCAGGTGTTTTATATTTGTGTGTTTTTTACTTTGTTAATGTATTTTATTGTTCTCGTTTATTTGATCAAGTTTATTTGCTTTGATTAAGTTACATTTATTCTGTTTATTTCTTGTATTTGATGAAGTTCGTTTATTTTAGTAATTTCATATAATTTATTCATTTTATTAATTTCATATAATTTATTCATTTTATTAATATCATATAATTTATTCATTTTATTAATTTCTTATAATTTATTCATTTTATTAATTTCATATGATTTATTAATTTTATTTACTTTGTTATTTTCATTTATTTTATGAATTTCTTTTATTTTATGAATTTCATCGATTTTATTAATTTCATTTATTTTATTATCTCCATTTATTATATTAATTTCATTTAATATATCAATTTAACTTGTATATCACCTTCATTTATTTTTAGCATTTCCAGTTAGTTTATTATTCCCATACATTTCAGAAGTCAGAGGTGTTGGGAGAAAAAAAAACGAAACTTGACGATTTCTACATGAAGCTTCCCCGCGGCTCCTGATCGGCCAGCCCCACGATGCGCCGCCACGTCTGGAGGATTCTTGTGCCGCCCTTGCTCCTGTTCTCCCTCTTCGCTGCTCACGTCGCCCCGTCAGACCCCCAGCGTGGACCCCGGGAGAGAGGAGTGGCTCTGGACGACGATCTGCCGACGATACCTGACGTGGCAGAGGGGGGAGGAGAGGAGGGGGAGGGGGAGGATGAGGATCATGTATCGGTTGAGGAAGAAGCGAGTGATTTGGCTACCCTGAAGGAGGAGCTGAACCAAGGGCGCAACGGGTCTTGGACGAGGGAGAGCCTCGTCCAAGGGAACGACCTCGGGAATTCGGCGACGAGACTCTTCGGGGCCGCTGAGGAGGCGTTTTCGGTGACGGTGACGGAGGCGCAGAAGAGGAACTCGACGGGGGCGGCGCGGCGGTGGGGGAGTCACCCGCTGCCGCCGCTGCAGGAGTACATCGCCAGACGGAGCGACGGCGGCGCCAGGTGGACCGCGTACTTCCACGACCAGGCCATCGCCATCATCCAGCAGACCAGCGAGGGAACCGTGCTCAACTGCACGCTGCAGGAGGTCATGTGCGTAGTCTGTGCAGCGTATGGTTGAGAGCATTTCTTTATATAGATGTTATGATAAATGAGGGAGAGAGAGAGGGAGAGAGAGAGGGAGAGAGAGAGGGAGGGAGAGAGAGAGAGAGGGAGAGAGAGAGAGAGGGAGAGAGAGAGAGAGGGAGAGAGAGAGAGAGGGAGAGAGAGAGAGAGGGAGAGAGAGAGAGAGGGAGAGAGAGGGAGAGAGAGAGAGAGGGAGAGAGAGAGAGAGGGAGAGAGAGAGAGAGGGAGAGAGAGAGAGAGGGAGAGAGAGAGAGAGGGAGAGAGAGAGAGAGGGAGAGAGAGAGAGAGGGAGAGAGAGAGAGAGGGAGAGAGAGAGAGAGGGAGAGAGGGAGAGAGGGAGAGAGAGAGAGGGAGAGAGAGAGAGAGGGAGAGAGAGAGAGAGGGAGAGAGAGAGAGAGGGAGAGAGAGAGAGAGGGAGAGAGAGAGAGAGGGAGAGAGAGAGAGAGGGAGAGAGAGAGAGAGGGAGAGAGAGAGAGAGGGAGAGAGAGAGAGAGGGAGAGAGAGAGAGAGGGAGAGAGAGAGAGAGGGAGAGAGAGAGAGAGAGGGAGAGAGAGAGAGAGGGAGAGAGAGAGAGAGGGAGAGAGAGAGAGAGAGAGAGAGGGAGAGAGAGAGAGAGGGAGAGAGAGAGAGAGGGAGAGAGAGAGAGAGTGAGAGAGAGAGAGAGAAAGAAATTGCTTGCTTCAGATTATAGATTTACACCTTTATCTAGTTGTAATATATATGTAATTCAAATGTGATAATCAATTGTCGATCTGTATTTCTTTCTCTTGCTGCAGTTAAATATACAGTATAGGTTTTGTATATTTGAACACATAATATATTATACAGAATGCAACAGACACGAACTTTCTCCTAAATTCAGTATCGTAGATATATGCACGAGTTTATCTCTGTTTATTAGTGAGCGTATGATAAATAGAAACTATTTTTTCAGTCAGGTGTGGGAGCAGCGAGAGGCCCTGGCGTACCTCGGCCATGTAATGCCCCTTGTGCCCGTGCCCTTCCAGCATATGGTCCATCTAGTGACACTCTGTGGCACCTTCACTCCCTATCAACCGCAGCCGATTACCGCCCAACAGACTCCGGGTAGGTATTGGCTTGTGACCGCTTTGTGTTTTGTGGTGTTAGGGTTAGTGTAGGGGCAGTTGTTATGTAATACTGTTGTGACGTAAGTACTGTTACTCGGGTTTCTGCGCGGTTTGTGTAGTTGTGATTTTAGTGAAGGTAAAAGACAGTTTTTATGTGATACTGTTGTTGTGTAGGTAAATATTTTGAGGTCTCTGCGTGTTTTTTTTTTTTTTATTAATTTAGCGGCGGTATAGGGACAGTAGATTACGTATGCCATCGAAACTAGTCCGACTTGTTTCGAATTCCGTCCTTAACACGTAGATAACACATATATTCTGAAAACGTTTCGGATATCCTTTCCGGTGATGGTCCGGCTATTCCGGATGACACAAGAAGCTTCCCGTAAAAGATTTCCGAAGTATCTCTGGATATGAGCAAATGTATCCCATGTTTAAGCTTCGTTACATCGGAACTTTTGTACATGACTGTACATGCTGTTGTATCACTACTGTTTTTTTTTCCGAACTTTGCATTGGTAGAACGTGGATTCTGCACGTCTTGCTACTGTGATGTTAGGATATTTATATTGTAGTTGCTCTACAAACAATCGCGGATAAAAGTCCTGAATCATGAATGAAGCCTTGGAGGCCGTATAAACCATGCATTTGACTATCGATAAGTCTGACAAAAATCAGTCTTATCAATAACAGATACAGCAAATACTTCACAGCTTTATGATTGCTTAAATCTTTATAGTATCACATATGCCAATGCCATTAACAAATATCCCATGATATTAGAACCAAACGTATTACACCTCTCTCTCCATTACACAGTAAACCAAATATCCGAACACTGCATCACTATCTGTACAATACCAAGTGCCGTTTCTTCCAGCCAACAAGTTATGGTGGCTGGACATGTCGGCGTTACAGGGCATCCTCCCAGGGACGCTATGGTGCGGGATGGGCGACCAGGCAGCCACCTACCACCAGCTGGGTCCTCGTCGACAGCTGGATTCCTGCTGCCGGGCGCACGACCACTGCCCCATCAAGCTGAGGCCCATGATGACGCGCTATGGGCTGACGAATTACGGGTTCAAGACCATGTGAGTGTCTCTGTCTGCCTTTGTTTGCAAAATGAAACAGACACTATGTCACGTCAAGAATATCCATTGTAACAAATGGAATCAAACTGAACCTTAAACTCTCTCCTTCTCCCCCTCCCCCGTCCCCCTCTTAGTTTTCCTCTCCCTCTCTCCCTCCCTCTTCCTCTCTTGCTCACATTAATTTTAGAATGGAATAAAAGAAAACAAAGATGTATATAGACAGACAGATCCGGATCAAGTTACGAAGGAAATAGCCATTGTTTTTTTCTCACCAAAACAACAACGACAGTCCCTAACAGCATGCTCTCTCTCGCAGGTCCCATTGCTCGTGCGATCTGGAGTTCTACCGTTGCCTGAAGGCGGCCGGGGACAGCGTGGCCACCATGGTCGGCCAGGTGTACTTCAACTACCTCAAGATGGAGTGCATCGACGTCCCGAGTCCCAAAAGCTGCTACTCCCCTTCCGTGACGATAAGAACTCTCAACGCCCCTTTCCCCTCTGAGACGGCAACAGAAGCTCCTCCTCCTCCTTCTCCCTTCCCCGCGACGTCGGGAACGGAGACGAGAGATGCACAGGAGAGGACGAAAAATAAGAATAAGAAGAATAAGAACAAGGGAAGGAGGAGGCCCAGGTTGTCGTGTCTCCGTCGGGATGCTGAAGGAGGGTGTCGCTTCTGGCTGCCCAACCCCAAGGGCTTCACGACGCGGCTTCAGATTGTCAAGACGTCGCTGAATTTTTAGCGGGATGAGGCGGGTTTTTAGGATCTAGCTTTTTAATCATTTATTTATTTACATATTTATTATTAATATTATTATTATTATTATTATTATTATTATTCTTTTTTTGCTATTATTGCTATTAATTTTATTATTACGATTATTCTTTTAGTACAGCCAAACCAAATATTATAGAAGGGACATTTAAATACTCTATTTCTTTTCACGCTAGCCTAATGATACTGATAGGTTGCTGAGAAAAGTAATAGAAAAATAGGACAGATAATCCTGTGTATTTATGCGAGTTTTAGAATGATTTTGGAATGAGAATGAGACTGACCGTGTTTTAGGTTTCCCATTTTAGAAGACTGTGATATAACATTGTGATTAGGACAAAAGCTGTAAACGTCTAGGTTCCTTTAAAAGAAAATTTTATTTTTTTAATGTGTATAAGCCTAGGTGAACAAAAGACAGTCGAATGTCAACATAGACAGAAGACTGTGTGTTGTGCATATATTTTTTCACCGAAGTGTGCCAGGTGCGCATCCCCGTGCAGGTCGAGCAGGTTCTTGTCGCTGTATACTTCATATTTTGTCGTAATAAATGTATGGAATAAGGACGGATCTTTTTATTGAGTCTTGGCTTAGGAGACGAGGACTGAGCCCAGTGCTGGGGATCTCCCTAGCCTTGGGCCTCAGTCCTCGACTCGTCTGATAGTGCACGGTCTTTTTCCCTCCCACCTTTTCGTTTCCGTTCCTTCTCCAACCTCTTCTACGATCCAGTT